TCTACCCTTCCTATTGTTCCTTTTCCTCGCCATTTCTCTCTTTTGAATTTTCCTTCCATAGAAAATTGTGTGAATCTCAAACAAAAACCGAATGTACGAAGCTTTTTTTTCAAACGCCGATCTGAGAGTTTTACCAAACCAGCCTCACAGACTCCCACTTATTTGCCATTGTGATTGAACCTGTTTTTCCCCTGTTCGCCCATCTCGCCGACAATCCTGTGCAAACATAATCGAGCCTCGCTCATTTTATATTTCACTGTATGACATCAGCAACATATCCAGGATTGAACGCTGCACACCTTCCCATTTTTAAATTCCGAGATTTGAATGTTTGAAAAGTTAAATCGTCGGGTAGTGTGTGAAAATATTCAAAAAACTGACCTGAAAATTCGATAAGTTCAATCGAAGAAAGTCCAAAATTAGTTGGGAAGTCTTAGCTGTAGAAGAAATGAGTGCCATGCAAGATATCATTACTTTACGCGAGAAAAAGTTCGACAAGTTGCTCGCTTTGCTCGAATGGTCGTTTACTTTATCGTATATTACCACATACTAATTCATCTGCTGTCGGCAAGGCGAGCAACTTGTCGAATTTTTTCTCGCATAATAGCAGTGACATCCTGCGCGGCACCAATTTGACGAACAGTCTGATTGTTTATGTAGCCATGGAAAGACACACCAAGCATCCTTTGCTTCGCTGTTCTCACCCTTAACAGCCACCGTTCGCTCTTCTGCTTTCGCCAGTGACTATGGTCCTTTTGTAAGTGATAACTTGTTTTCCCACTGAAAGATTATTTCAGGCAAATTAGTCGATCTCCTCCACCAAGAACAGCAAGCTTTGTTTTCGTAGTGATAACAGAAATTAGGAAGACAACGTGATGTTATACGCGGAATTTTTGCGGATGATCATCGTCTGGGTAGAGACCTCGATGAATCACTGCTATCATGTTCGACGTAAATAAGTTTGTTGAAATTTGACTCACCTCATTTCTTTTGAAAACACCGCTCTTTAGTCCGGAAAAGAGGGTGGAACGTTTCTCTTTGACTCAATATTTACTTTTGTCGTTCACTTTTTTCTCAAGTTTTAAGCCATCCATACATTCCGTGATTTTTTTCTCTCCTTCGTCTCTTCTTCCTCCTCCTCCTTCCTTCTCGCTTCCTTTTGCCCACGTCCCATCCTTTCATTTGACTGATATACTTATCTACATTCCGTTTTCCTGGTGTAAAATTTTTTCCTGCCCCCAATCCTCCTCCCTTACGTAACCAAGGTAGATAACAAACAATCACAATTCATCTTACCAAAAAACCTAAAAATGTAGGCGTTAACTTTTTAAGTTTTGTCTTTGCAAATTTTATATAAGTTGCCAAGAGGATGGCGAAAGGGGCTGACACCTGTTTGTTTTCACGCTGATGGCAGCTGGTACCTACTTGTACCTATTTGGCACATATTTGTCTTCACACAAATATTGAACTAAGGCAGTCTTTTTATTCCAAAGAAAGTTCCGCATTCACGGAGTTATGCTACAACCACTGATACTAATCATGTTCCACTCCTTAGCTTTTTAGGCCCCTGTTTTCTTCCTAGCGAGTGCGATATTTCATCATTTAATGTTTTTTTAATAACCAACGGATAAGGTGCAATAAAAAGCAGCATAATTGTCTTATAGTCAGCTCGATGGTTCAACCTCGCCCAGTAATGAAAGCAATCCTTGAACAGTTCATTCGCTTCGGTGGTAAATTGGTACTGGCATATTTTCGAGAGTCAAGTCGGCTGTGGCATGCTTATAAGTTGCTCTTAAAAGAAAGAGTAATTGACAGCCTTATCTAGATGTGACTGCAATCGGCATTTGCTACTACTTGGGTTATTTCCCGAGTGCCTCACGAGGGGCCAACACGTTGACTCGTATTGGATGCGTTTTGGCCTTTTCCTGCATGCAGTTGCAAAAGCGTCGACTCGGACGAAAGCGTTGCATTATGGGACTGTGTGAACTTTTGACATGCATGGTTTTCAGTTTTGCATGAAATTCGGTCGTTTTTCGAAAAAATGCAGATTTGACAATGCACTGGATATCGAAAGCGGATTACGAAGTCCGCAAAATGCAGTCGCTTCTGAGTTTGCGATAAAACTGAATATTTGACATGCCTACATGCAGGAGATTTCACCTCCTAACTGAATTAAGATCATACATGACTATCGAATATTTATGCAAAATTTCAGCTTTTCATTTTGTCCGATAAGCGAAATAGCCACTTCGTTATAAATAACTTTGATGTGCCCCCAAGTAATTGTGCAAGCGCGAATCAAAAATCAATTTAGATATGCGGTTTTCTATACGAACGACAAATATTCTGACAGAATTTCAACTACTGTTTTCCAGCTAGTTTTTAAGTTGGCAAATGCCAACCTCGAACTTTGGCATAGCCGTACGCGCGGTACAAGTATGCGCGATAGCTGAATTTGAAATCTTTGGCCCGTATATGCACAAAAAATATCCCTGCAATTCTTAGACTTCTATCTTGTCTGGTTCCCGAATTCGTCTCTCGCCGAAGAAATTTGAATGTTTCCTTCGGATGTCTTTTTTGAGAGTTTAGGCGCGTATAAGCGATGAGTTTAAAACGGTAAGCCAATACATGGGTTGGGAATTTGCCTTCAGAATTTCAGCTTTCCAGCTTTCCTGGTTGCTGAGTTAAAGGTAGATGGCAAAGTTCACTTGCTTCCGATCGCGTACACATGCGGACTGCCTCTCAACAGTATGTGCTTTTGCTCACTGTAGCAGCGCTATTTCGCTACCCAACCAAAACGCATAAAAACTGCGTTTTTTTTTTGTGACATGTTAACAATTTAATTAGTGCTGGATGCATTCTATAGCAAGTTTTTTCAAAATTTCTTTCCTCAGCTCTTTTCCCCTTTCCCTCTATTTCTAATACTTTCATTTCCGGAAAAAACTTCGAGTGCACTTCCGAGTAATTGAATTTTTCAAAAACTAATTCTTTTAAGCAGCTGTTAGCAGATATGAGACAGTAGCAGGTTGAGCTGCTTTCGAAAGCGAGGGTTCAATTGTTTCAGCAGAACAAGCAATCCCTCTAGAATCCATCATTCGTTTTGATTGTAAATTAGTGTTGGTTGATGTTAAGGAGTAATCAGTTTACTTTTAAACATTCATAAAAAGGAAGGACCAACGACCGCCTTGCCAGCAAGTGGTTGCCGTTGACACGTGCTACCATTCAAGCCGTTTCCGTGTGCATTAGGGAATGAATATCGGAGAGGGCTCTGGCTTTGATTTTTGACTTCGCGTTTTTTTATTGCTTTGTAAAG